ACAGCTTAGGGCCTCACATTTTTACACGCATATGAAGGAGAAGGGTCTGTTATAAGCTTAGGAGCCACAAGTCTAAATCCAACCTTAACTTTTGTTCTATTACATATCTTATCTAATAAATCATCAGATTTATTATCAACAAAATAGCAAATAAATTAATTTTAAAAATATTAAAATATATTTATATTATAAAATTATTTTATTACAATTTAAATATTTATTTTACTAGAAATTTTATCAAATATTTATTAACATTATCGACTTACATACTAAATGCTTATTTCAGTTTAGATTTTAAGTGAAGTTTCTATTAAAAACAGATTAAAACAAATTAAATTAAATTAATTCAAAGTTTAAGGATATAGAAAAAAGAAATAGAAAGTAAATCAACGTCACGAAAAGGTCTATTTCTTTGACATAATTATCATAAAAAAAATGAAAATTTTCCTAGGTTCAGTGCACTTGTAATCTTCCAGAAAGTTTGACTAGCTCTAAACACTGTTGACATGTGAATATCTCAGAAGAAATAAAACGAAAACATTTCTGTAGTAATTTATTTTTGGATCTTTTAACTTCCCCAAAAATTTAATTTTGTAAAATTCATTATGAGGAAATAACAATAAAAAATCTTAAATTTAACTATAAATCTTTCCTGAAATTATAATTTAATACTTAAATTAGGATTTATATTCTTTATATATTTTATTGAAAGTATATAATTAAGATATTATAGACTTTCATTTACAATGTATAATCTGCATAATTTTGAAAAATATTTTAAATTTTATTGCGTTGAGTATTTAGTAGACTATATAAAATTTTGTAACATTTAATAACTATAAAATTATGTTCAGAATATAGTTTAAAGCAAAATTTATGTAATTTTTCTAAGAAAAAGAATTTATCTATCTTATTTTTCAAGAAATATAAAGGTTGAGGGTAGATTAAGACAGCTTTGACCTATTTAAGTATCCCCCAACCCCAACCTGTGATGAGATTCTCAAGAGATGGTTATCAGATTTAGCACATTTAATAGTTGTTTAAAAATAAACTATTTAATTCAAGAAATCATATTTAAATATTATTTAACTATTTGAACAACTNGATTTAATCTATTATAAAAATTTTAATTTGTTGTAAAGAAAAATAAAAGTTCAATTTTATTAGATTCGCTAAATACGTCTATTCGTAATTTAATTAAATTTATCCTTAATCAAAAATAAACTCTTATCAATAAAAATATTCAACAATTTTATATTTAAGATTCCAAATACAGATAACTAAATATAAATGAACCATTAATAGAGTGTGGGAAATAAAAGCTCACTTATCAGTGGTATAGAATTGACGTTTTACTTTCCCGGATGTTAAAATAACATTGAAAGTATTGACCGTCCGGTTTTTTTGCATTTTTTTTTGACGTTTTAAGCTCCCATAATTCCAAAAAACACATAAAAAAGGAGACGTTCTGTATGTTTGTATGTGTATGTATCTTATGTGTTGGCATGTATTTTACTTTCTGAAGCTTCATGGACCAAACATTTTAAAATTTTTGACTGAAATATATTTAAATATGAAACATTGATGCTATTGCTTTTTGAATATTATAAGTCAAGGGGAAGATAGAGGAGGTAGGAGTCATATTTCGAGGAGGATTAGACTTAATTAATTTTACTCGTACGAGTTTTTAGCTTATTAAAAATAATTATTGGCATTTACGATTTTTTAAACTCGGCCCTTCTTCTAAAAATAAGACTTTTGCTTTTTATATAACTTTTAAAAATTATAATTAAAAATTTTCTAACTTCCTTCCTGGACCCCTTAACCTCCTGTTTAAGTATCGGAAAAGTCGTTGCAGAGCCCTTGCCAGCTTTTTCATGTGTAAATTAAACAAATTTTTATATATTATTTTATATTGTTCCTGTCGTTTCAATTTTTTGTTAAGGTATTTACTAAGTTTTCAATTATCACTGTTGTCTGCTTCGATACGTTCCTTATCATGTCGGGAATTTTGTTCTTCTCAAGCAAAGAAACTGTCTTTTTTTCCCTCCCTGCCTCATTGTGTAATCTTGTTTGTAAGCGTTTTGTGTACCTGTCCTTTCTCTTGATGTGACCAGGTTACTGCTGGTGTTTCCTTCTTGCTTTAATGTTTTTTCCTATCTCTTTTCCTTCCCTTCTATTCTGGACTTCTGAGTAGGCTTTTTGTCTTTCTTCAGTATCAATAGCAATATTATTTTATACTTCAAAATATCCTATTGAAACAATTAAAAGATATTTTATAATTCACACTATAATAAAATATAAAGTTAAAACATTATATATTTTTTTTTATTATTATTAGATAACTAAATTGGCTTACATTAAATTATTTTAATTTCTTTAAAAAATAATAATAATCATTCGACACACTTAAAACGCTTAATTTATTCTTTTCAATTTATGAATCAGTGGATAAAACTACTGAACAACTGGTAGTTGGTCGCGGGTTCGCTTCTCTGGCCACGTGAAGTTTCTCGAGTTTTCTTTACGTGTCTAAACCTAAATAGGAGTCAGTTTCCATAGAATTTCTTCCCAGAAAACATTCCCCCTTGGTAGATAGCCCATGTGTTACGTTACTTTTTTCATCAATTCATAAATAGATTTAAATTAATAGATATTAAATTAACTGTTTTAATAAATTATATTAAATCTTTATTCAAACAATGAATAAATCTTTGCCAAATTTAATACAAATGCTCTTTCTTTTAGCAATCAATTAAAAAATAGTTAACAGAGAATACATTACGCTTAGTTTATTATAATATAATGTAAATATTATTTGATTTATAAAGTTTCATAAAGAGTTTATATAATTTAAAGCATACAAATGCTTGAAATTACACAATTAATATTAAATTAAACATTTTTCTAATAAGATTGTATGAAGTCTTAATACATAAGGCATCTACATGGAGAAATATAAATTATAATAATTTCTGTTTGTTTTAGATATATTATTTAAATATCCAGAAAGTTAATTAATTAAATTTAAAGAATCAAACTTGAAATAGTCTTATTTTTTAATTTAAAGTTAATAAAATCATACGGAGTCAACGATCTTTTACCAGACAGTTATAATTAAACTTCCTTTACTACAGACGGAAACTCAATAGAATTTGAAAAGTTTATATCCTAGAAAATGCGGAAGAAAATTGTATGGGAAAAACATTGAGTTCAGGAGAAATGTGACTCCATTGTATAACAATATTTGCTGCGTAAGTACTGGTATGAACTTACATAAAATATATCATTGGTCATACTGTATATCACTTTTAAAATAGTAAATTTATTTGTAGGAGGAAAACAAAATTATATTAATTTTTTTTAAATTTCTATAATATATTTTATATATTATTTCTATAATTTTTCGTAAAGACTAGAGGTTAAACTTTAAAACGAAATGTATATAAAGTTAAGTGTATAAATATAGTGAAAACATGTATAAAATTTGTTTATTACCAGGAAATGCTAAAACCAGAGTACATTAAATTTTATTTGACATGACAGTCATGAATATGCTATTAAAGCATAAAATTTAAACTCATAAATTCTTGAAATCTGTGAAACAAGTTTGCTTCCCCTCTGTTTTAATTCATTGTTGTTATTTAATTTAAAATTTTTAATTAATCACACCTATATAAATAGACTTAAATAAAATATAAAATGTTAAATAGACCTATAATAATAACAACAAAACAATACAATATTATATAGACCTAGGCATATAAAATACACGTTAAATTTATTCGTATATTTATATACTTTTTATTAGTTTGCATGAAGATCTGATAATAATAAAGTAAAAAGAGTATTGACATCAGTGAAATTTCTGGATCGTAAGGTTCATAAAGACATTTCTTATGTTCAGGAATAAGGAAATTCATATGTTTGTGATTTAAGATAAATTTAAATTTCGTAATTATTCTAATTTTGGCAACATTATAAATTGTATTTGACATTATTTCAAGATCGAGAGATTATACGTTATTTTTTTATATTATTTTCTTGTACAAATCGTTTCAAATGAAAAAGTAGCCTATATGCTCGATTAATCAGCAATAAATCAGAAAAAGAATAAAAATATATATATATTGCATAAAATAATAATAATAGAATGAGCTTTAAATTTTCTTAACTTTCTTCCCGTGTTGTAAACTTTAAATTTAGTAGTAGTGTTCTTTGATAACTACTAAATGAATTTAAAATTTTTTAATTTCCACCCTGTGGATACGAAGAGGACCTTTATTTAGGGCTTAATGTCCGTTATGAGTAATGCCCGTAATTGGAACAATCGGGCGATGAGGTACGATGCCCGACATGTCTAGGACAGAGGGCCCATAAAAAATTTCTGGAAGTTGCTCGATCGGATTTGATCCCGGTTTCATCAGAGCGATAGATAGGGCATCCGGCTGTCAATTATAACTTTTAATATAAAATATAATACAGTAAAATTAAAATTCTATAAATAAATGATTCTTAAAATACAACACTGTTATTTTTTGCTTAATTGCTTCTACAAAAAGAAAAAAATAATACATAAATAATAAAGTTTTAATTGTTTTTTATATGAAAAATATAATTATCAGATATTTACATGTTTTTAATTTAATATCTCATTGTTTTCAGTATGACGCGTTTTGTTTTAAAGTGCATAAAAAAAATTCGCTTCATTCAAAGAGCTAAACACTTTAATTTTACATTTTCCTGCCATGGCTGAGTAACGGAGAGAAATTTAAAAAATTGTTTATATAATCAAATCTTAAAAAGGAAAAAGTCAATAAAATATAAAAACTGTTTATTTACAATATCTTTTACAATATTTCTAAGATATTTATTGTTCTTCACTCTATTCTTTAGAAATCTTCTCTTCTGCAAGAAAAATACAAAATAAATAATCTTGTTACGTAAAAATTAAATTCTTGAAAAGTGATTTATATTTACCTTTTGATTAGCTAATTAATTTATCCTAATTTATATGACTTCGTAATTTTAACTATCGGAACGTAATGATATTTAATCACTGGAAAACTTTTGATGATGAAGGCTTCTTTTAATTTTAAACCACCACCTCCTCCTCCAAATCCACCGCCAAATCCACCGCCAAATCCATGACCAAAACCTCCTCCAAATCCACCACTACCACCACCAAAACCGCCTCCTAATCCACCAAGGTCTTTCACAATTATTATTTTTTTACCACCTCCTCCGCCACCTCCTCCTCCTTCTAAACCGTGACCGAATCCACCAAAACCACCGAAACTTTCTAAACCGTGACCGAATCCACCAAAACCACCTCCTCCTCCTCCGAAACCACCAATAATTCCCGAAAATGCGACGTGGAAAAGTAATCCGAAAAGAATGAAACTTGCTAGCTAAAAATGAATTAAAAATATAAGCCAATGTATATTGAATTAGAAATAACATAGCTGTGAAATTACTTACTAGACTCTTCATGTCTGCAGATGGTTCTGTTCTCCGGTGCTAGCATCTTTCCAACACTTATATAGAGAAAGTGCTCTCACTTCTGTACCCCAAGGCCATTATAGAAAGCAAGTCACGTACTGTCTGGAGTAGAAACTGATGAAGGAAAGTAGAAAATAGCAACTGATGGGAGGGTCATGTCCTGTTTTACTTTTCCTCTGTTGTCAAATTCTGTTGTTACGAACATATTGTATCTAAAATATCAGTAAGAGTTTATCGATTTATTTATCGAGTTCAAAGCTATGTCATTTTTAAAATAATTTCTTATTATTTTTGTTAGGGCCTAATTTGCATATAAACCAAACAAGCAGCAGCTGAAAGACTCGCTTTATATGTCTACAGCTTAGGGCCTCACATTTTTACACGCATATGAAGGAGAAGGGTCTGTTATAAGCTTAGGAGCCACAAGTCTAAATCCAACCTTAACTTTTGTTCTATTACATATCTTATCTAATAAATCATCAGATTTATTATCAACAAAATAGCAAATAAATTAATTTTAAAAATATTAAAATATATTTATATTATAAAATTATTTTATTACAATTTAAATATTTATTTTACTAGAAATTTTATCAAATATTTATTAACATTATCGACTTACATACTAAATGCTTATTTCAGTTTAGATTTTAAGTGAAGTTTCTATTAAAAACAGATTAAAACAAATTAAATTAAATTAATTCAAAGTTTAAGGATATAGAAAAAAGAAATAGAAAGTAAATCAACGTCACGAAAAGGTCTATTTCTTTGACATAATTATCATAAAAAAAATGAAAATTTTCCTAGGTTCAGTGCACTTGTAATCTTCCAGAAAGTTTGACTAGCTCTAAACACTGTTGACATGTGAATATCTCAGAAGAAATAAAACGAAAACATTTCTGTAGTAATTTATTTTTGGATCTTTTAACTTCCCCAAAAATTTAATTTTGTAAAATTCATTATGAGGAAATAACAATAAAAAATCTTAAATTTAACTATAAATCTTTCCTGAAATTATAATTTAATACTTAAATTAGGATTTATATTCTTTATATATTTTATTGAAAGTATATAATTAAGATATTATAGACTTTCATTTACAATGTATAATCTGCATAATTTTGAAAAATATTTCAAATTTTATTGCGTTAAGTATTTAGTAGACTATATAAAATTTTGTAACATTTAATAACTATAAAATTATGTTCAGAATATAGTTTAAAGCAAAATTTATGTAATTTTTCTAAGAAAAAGAATTTATCTATCTTATTTTTCAAGAAATATAAAGGTTGAGGGTAGATTAAGACAGCTTTGACCTATTTAAGTATCCCCCAACCCCAACCTGTGATGAGATTCTCAAGAGATGGTTATCAGATTTAGCACATTTAATAGTTGTTTAAAAATAAACTATTTAATTCAAGAAATCATATTTAAATATTATTTAATTAATTTGAGATTTATTTTTTTTTAAATATCTAAAATACTGTAATAAGCATGTTCTAAATATAGTAATTTTCGAAAAGAAAGTTTAGTTTGACCATCCTATCGAAGAAACGGGTCAATTCTAAATGTGGCAAAATAAAGAGCTATCGACCTCATAACAAAAGGAGGAGAATCGCCGGATCTATTTTTAAAATTAACTTGTTCTGGATATTATTTATAAAAAGTTTAATCATAGACGGTATAACCTTTTTTAACAGGTGCTCTCTACAAAATACCTTACAAAAATAGAATAAATTAATAAAATTTAATTAAAAAATAAATAGGTTTTCTTCCTCCAACTAATCCTGACTTAAAACTTAAATTAATTATAGATAATAAGTTTAAAATTCCTTTGCAATTTTTATAGTTTCGGCCTATTGAAATTCCTTTGCACTTTCTGTATTATTGAAATTAATATATATTATTTTAATTATATTTAGGCAATACTTTAAAGTATTAATTACTATATTGAAAGGTTTTAAAATATTTTTTAAAAAAGAAGTGCTTATTTTAAATTTAATTTTTACAGTTTATTCGCTTCAATTACAAATAATTTATTGCCTGAAAATCAAAACAATAAACTCAGATTTTATAATAAAATAACAATAATAAATTTAGAGTGCAGGAAAAAATTGTAATATTTCGTAACCTTAAACATTACTCCTATTATTTTAAAATTAGAAATTAAAAAAAAATTGATATAAATAAATTTTAATAGAGGGTGAGAAAGAATATATATTTTTATAATAATGTCAAATATTTTAATTTTTTTTACATTATTCTGAGGGAAGAAAAATCTTAATTAAATCACAAACACGTGTTTTGCTTTAAAATCTATAAAAAGATCCAGGATAATTCTCATAACTGCATAATTTAAGGAACTTATCAAATTTCAAAATTTAATCCGAAATATAAAAATAGAAAGTGAATTATTTCTTTTTAGATTAACATATTCGAATAAATATGCTTACATATTCAAGGATGCTTCAGAAGGGGCAATCGCCTCCGATCATCTCCTTAAAATAAAGCAAAACGATTTCATTTTTAATACTTACTTTCTTGTTTTTATATTATTTTACAAACATCCAGACTGACAATATACAGTAAAACCTGTCTAAAGTAAATCCTATACAAAACGGATAATAAATGTCGGAACGGAATGACTTTCCGTATAAAATATTATTCCAAGTCGAAAACTTTAATACGGAAAAGGAGAATTTTTTTAGGTTCCAATTGCGTAACATAACCCGAGTATAGGATAATTTTTCGGCGAAACGGCAGCTAAATTCTAAATCATTATGATTTCAAGGGTATTGAGGTTTTATACAGATTTTTTTCCCCTCTCCATTCACTTCATGTATATGTCTTTGAAACAAAGCAGTTCTAAATATGAGTTGTAACAATTTTTCAGCACACATTTCTGCTTTAATAATAACATAACTTTCTATAAAACGGAAACCTGCAAAAACGAAAAATTCTGATCGATATCATAGCGATCTGTTTTAAACAGATTTTACTGTTCTTATTTATAAAATGGACTTAGAAGATTAAATTTAATTATCTAGGTTTTTTTGTTTCTTAGTTGCAATTATGATGATTGCTCCATTCATAAAATTTACATATTCATCCTTGTTTATCATTAATTAATATAATATAACGTTCACGTCTTTTTAAAGTGTAGTCGCTAAAAGTAAATCTTTAATTTGATATAGTTTAGGCTTATATATAGAAACTTATCTATTGATGAAAATAAATTATTTATCAATTGGCGAATCTCTGTTAACACAAAAGATTTTAAATACTGTACAGTATAAGTAAGAATTTAGTTATTTCTATCTTTCTCTTTAATTTTACATTGTCTCTGTTTATTATATTTCTATTAATCTTTAAATTAAGCCAATCGGTGGCCGAATTTATAAGACCACTAAACACTGATAGTTGGTCGCTAGTTCGCACCTGACCAACCGGCTGGCTACGTGAAGTTTTTCGAGTTTAGTTCACCTGTCTAAATAAGTGGGCAGTTTTCCATAGAAGGTCCCCTCTAGGGAGGCATACACCCTTGGCTAGATCGCCCAAGTGTTACGTTGTCTTATCAATCAGTCAATCGAATTTTATCTTTAAGTCAGAAAAAAATTTGATTTTGATTAGAAAAACGCTAAAATTTCGTTTTATTTGTTTCATTATATCGACGAAAACTTTAAGATAACAAGAACAATGTTAGCTTTGAAACACATAATTTTTAGTATAAAAAGTACTAAAACGAATCTTTGCAATGTATAGAATTTTTGTACCGGTATTTATTTTCATAAATAAATGTGAAATACGTGACGTAGAAGATTCACGATATCCCAAGCCATGCATATTTTTTATAACCTCGAGAGTACCGTTTCGTTTTAAAAGAGGGTTTGGTTTGATAGGATGCCGTGACCCAACATGTGGGCAATCTGCCGAGGAGAGATGTCTCCCGGGATGACTTTCTATGGGAAACGGGATCCTATTTGGGCGTTAGAAACGTGAAGCAAACCCAGAAAAATTCACTTGGCCAGCCCGTTGGCAAGGCGTGAACTCACGACCAACAACTAATGTTCAGTGGTTTTATCCGCTCGACCACACCTTCGGTCAGGTACAAACCCGCGACACGCGACCACGACAAGCTGGCCCTATTCATGCGTTGAACACTTGAAGAAAACTCAGAAAACTTCACCACGCCAGCTTATTAGCGACCAACCACCAGTTTTCAGTGGTTTTAATCCAGTCGGTCATTGGTGGGCCTTTTAAAATGAGAGAAAATACTCAAAAGTAAATAAATAAATAAATAAAATTATGAATAGCCTATTTTTGAGAATATTTTTGACAGATAATGCTTTTTAACTGGACAGCGAAACCCTTCTAAAACATCACCTCTCATAAAGACCATTTTAGCTCGAAACCTTTAGTGGTCTCAAAGTACAGCTTTTGCAATATTTTTCTATGATCAATGCAATAATTCTTGAAACGCATAATAATTGATATATTGGCAACTATAGATTATTATCTTACTAGTTATTTCAGTTATTTATATTTAAACGCATATTATATTAATATTTGAATTTGTTATGATGTTTGAAAATTAGCTGAATAACTGTAAAGGAAATGTTAAAATTATTTATAATATTGGCCTATTTTATGAAGAGAATCCGGTATTTTATTTATAGTAAGAAGTACATTAACTCAATCGTCACCCACTTTACTATTATAATTATACGTTATAAAACTAGTTTAAAATCTATTGCAGATCCTAATTTAGTTTTTATTGTTATTTTAATGATTAATTAGCAGAAAATTATGTGTTAAAATATATTTAGGTATAATTGCGATTCTTCATTCTTTTCTATAACAAAACGCCGTCATTAATAATAGGCGTTATAAAATAAAAATAAAGTTATAAATTATATTAATCAAAAATAATCTGAAACGAAATGCTTAAATATTTTATTAAGTATTTTAGATTTATCGTCGAATTATTTATA